GCATGTACTATAATTCTCAGCTTCCTAGGATTTAAGTCTTGGGAACATGAGGTTTTTCTAGGCCCTTGCCACTCTTCTGTATTTTGGTCCTCTGTGCTCCACAAGCTGTGAAAGCTGTGAGTCATGACTCCCATCTGGTGGGATTCCCTCCCTTCCCCTCGATCCACATGCCTGCCCAGCCATCTGCTGCCACTCTCAAGGTTACGGAGCAAGAGATGACACAGGAAAAGGAGAGGAAAACACCAGAAAAATGAATACTGTTTTATAAATAAAATGGAAAAAAATATGTATTTTCTTATTACAAAAGCAATTTGTATTCATTACAGGAAAATCAGAAAATGAAGGACAAAAACAAAACAAATAAAACAAAACAGTCTCCTTCAGAGCATCATTAATCACTCTAACCATCTCCTTGTATGTTTTTCCAAACCTGCATCCTGTAGCTATCTGTGTAGCTAGCTATCAAACAAAATGGGATCATTACCACATTATTCTGTAACCTGTTTTTTAAAACTGAATCATGAACATCTTTCCACGTCCATAAATACACTCCCACACTAGCATTTTTAATGTTTAAGGAGTATTTTCTATGCAAGGCATTATTCCAATTGCTGCAGTTTATATACAAAAATAGGTAAGATCATTTCTGCCCTTACGTGGGTATAACAATTTTTTCCCTATCTAACATTTAGGTCATTTCTATATTTTTGCTTTTGCAAACAATGCTGTGATGCATATTCTTGTAGCTAAATCTTTGCATGTACTCATACTTTGTGAAGATTGCGTTGGCTACTCTCTGTTTACCCCTCTGGGTTTACTCCCCATACTTCTTTGCCTTGCTCTGTGTGGCCTACGCCAGTGGGCTCATTTACTCTCTGGCAATGAGAAGCACAAGCAGGATGGTGGAGGAGGGTAGTGGAGAAAGGTGAGTGATCTATTCTGACTCCCACCCTGCCTCCTTGTTGATTGTCATTAGCTGCATCCCTGTATTGATGATGGCTGTGTTGCCTGGGCAGCCCTCTCCCAGAGCTTAGTTCTCAGGGAGCTGCTCACTCCAGGGTACTGCACCATTCCTTGTTGGCTTCCCTTAACTTTGCCCTTGCTGTTATAGAGAGTTCTCCATTAAACACTTCTCACTTACCCCGTGGGAATGTGCCATCTGTTTCCTGGCAGGACCCTGGATGGTAAAAGCACACTCCTATTCCTGGCATATTCTGCATCTCTAACTGCTTGCCTGCACTGAGAACCTGAGATGGATCATGTATAAAGGTCAAGAACTCCGTTTTCTCCTTTGACTTAAGACCTGGACACTAGTGACCATTGATCAGCCACCTCCCATTTCTTTCTCCCAGATCCCTCCATAAACCCCATGGGGATCTCTCAGCCTATGACTGAGGCACTCGGGTGGGGAGCATAAGAAAGAACCAAAAGCTTTGATCCCAAGGTCTGTGCTACCTTCACTTTCTTCTTCATGCCTGAAACCCTTCCTGGAGTTGCAGTGAGTTGGGAGAGGTTGTGTGGTCATTGCTTACCCTTTTAAACATCTGAGCTCAGAGCAAAATTGGTTTCTTTCTTCACTTTAGTCTAGCCTGAAATTCCTGGCAAGACTAGTCAAGAACAATCAAATGCTCTTCTTTTTAGTGAGATGAAACTTTTTGATGTCCACGTGTTTGGGGTTCCCACCTTGTTGCCGTGCTCCAGGCCCCTGCTCCTTGGTGCATTACCTTGTTCTGGAATTCCAGTTCCCAGAGGTGGGCACTTAGAAGGAGTTTGGTTTCAGAGACAGAAAGATCTGAAGTTAAATCCAATCACTTGTTGGCTTTGTCACTTTAAGGCTTCTATCTTTACTGAGTCTGATTTACTCATTTACCTCACAAGGTTGTTGGGAGGAGTAAATGAGATGACCTATATGGAAATGATCTAGTACAGCATGTGGAAGTAACTGTGTGACTTCCTCCTCCCCTCTTCTCTTCTCTCCCGCCCACTTCCTCTCCCCATCCACATGCTCCTCCTCCTTCCCTTCTTAACTTTCCCCTTCCTCTCCCCACTTCACATTCCCCCTCCCCTCTCAACTCACCCTTTCTCCCTCCCTACTCGCCCTCTCTTCTCTCCACTTTCTCTCACTATGAGACTGGCATGAGGATAAGAGGGATTAAAAACCAAGTCAGAAACATGTCAGAATGTTTCATATCTTCTTAAAAGCAAACCAGAACATAAAAGTGCAGGGAATTATATTCAGAAAGAAAAATCCCAATTATAAATCCATGCCCCCAAAAAGCTTTTCCAACACTTCTGAGCTCTTTCATGAACTCTCTCCTTATAGCATCAAGGACACAAAGAATGACGGGAAGTTGCTGATAATGGTCATTCTTTTCCCAGTCTTTGAAAAATGCCTGTCCAGTGTTCCAGGCTCCAGATTTGTTGTGGTGAATCAAAAGATAAACTCCCATGGTGGTTACATAATATGTCAAATGGTCTTATCTGGTGGAAGGGAGCTGGCTGGCTAACACGAGCCAGTTCAGTAATTCTGAGTTGTTTGGTGTTGGGTTAGAAGGATGATCCTGGGTTTCAGGAAACTACTGTATCAGCTGATGAGAGCTGCTCTAAAGGCTAGTTGGAGAGATGCATTGTGAATCCTTTGCACAGGAATTCAGACTTTGCTTGGTCTTTCTTTCCTAATTCCTAACAAATTCTTAACTTTTCAAGGAAAATAGATTGGTCTTAAGATCTTTTAAGAATTTACCCCACAATATTTTGACAGAAAAAATATTTTTATCTTAAATTTTTATTACATAATATTTTATGTATGTAAAATGACAAATATATAATATATGTGTAGGCTGTGAAGAATGTAAAAATATAAACACACAGGGGCTGGAACATTAATATCTGGGCTCTCCTCCATGATTTCTACTTTTCTCATCAAGAAAACTGCTCTTTGCATTCCCTTTGATTAAAAACAAAACACTGTACCATATGTAGATGCATTCCTAAACAGTTTGTTTAGTTTTGCTTGTTTTTGAGCTTTATAAAAATGGCATCATAATGTATGGAGTGTTTTTTCACTCAAGTTTCTAACATTCATCAATTTATCCATGTTGTTGTCTGTAGCTGAAGTCCATTCCTTTTTACTACTGTTCTTATATTCTGTTTGGTGAACATACCACAATTCATTTATTCATAGTCCTGTCTATGAAAATTTTGATTGTTTATTGTTTCCAGGTGTTTTTATAATAGTCTTGTTAACACAGATGAGAAATATACTAATAAGAATTTTTAGTGTTCCTTTGTCAAATTGTCATAAACCCTGGATTGATTTGTCTAGTGTCCCTTTGAGCTTTTTCTATTTCAGTAATCCCATTTATCACCTAAAGGAACTTAGATGCAGGAAAAAAATAAATGATTTGCCCATGCTCTGTTGTCACTTCTGCTATTTCCACTGCTATTAACTTCAAGAGCCAATAAAGTCCTCTTTAGTTCTTCTTGTCTGAACAAAGGCAAGCCCCTTCCATTCTGACACCAGAACTCGGAAGATATTTATTTTGATCTCACAAAACTTATGATCCAGGAGGCAGTGTGTCACAGTGAAAATAATATAAGCTCAAGAGGCAGAAAGATTTGGGTTTTAAAATACTGGCATCAGCACTTGTGGCGGGGGTAGTCTTGCACGCATTACGTCATTCTCCCAATCCTCATTTCCTCATCTACAAGATGGAGATAGCAATGTCTTCCTCACAAGATGGCTCACTGATTATGTCACGTAAGTGGTGTGAAAGGCCCAGTCATCACATTATAAAATAAGGAAGAGGAGGCTCACAGCCTGACCAATGGGACTTAATGATCTCACCCTAATCCACGACACAGGGGGAATAGAAAGAAGTCAGTTTTGGCTGGTGCAATTTCTGTCCCTCTGTGGATGGTTCTGCCTCAGAACAGAGGAATAGTGAGATCCTTTGTTGACTTGATGATGGTACTATAGTGTTTTGGCTTTGCTTAGGATTTCAGCTTTTTCTTTCCAAACCTATCTTGTGGGTTATTTTAACAGTCGTTTCATTAATAGCATAACATTTCTTTGTACCTTGTTTGACTGGCAAAGAAAGAAAAACTGATTGCAGTGTCTAATGCAGGGGTGGAAAAAATGTCCCTTCTTCCCTTCTAGGTTCTTCGGCTGGTCTAATAAGCAAATTGACGTAAAATAGATTAACAGGAGAAAAACAAACAAATTTTATGTGTACGGGAGCTCCATAAAAATGTGAGACCCAAAGAGAGCCAGGTAATTGAGGCTTATAAACCATCCTGAGCTAAGGAGAAGGGTAGAGGTCCGAGGATCCCAAGGGGAGAAGGGCCATTCACATATATACAAAGGGAAGGGAGGCGAGGAGATGTTTGGAAAACAAAGGCCGTAGTGTTGTGCAGATAAGCTTCTTAGGCAAAAAGGCATCTCTGGTAATAGGTCTCTTCTGTGGCAGGCCCCCTTTCCAATGTGAATGTAGGCATTTGAAGGGGAGGTAAAGAGCTTTTCCTGAATCTGCAGGGTTTTGGTTGCTTTTAGTTCAAAATAATGCTCATGCCAAAGAGACATATTTTGGGGTAGCAAAATCTGCTCTCCTTGACTGATAATTAAGGAGATCATGCTTTTTCCTTTGGAGAAAAACTTAAGTTAATTAATGTAAATCAATTTTAATTAGTTAATTAATGTTAAGGCCCTCACATAAAGCATTTAAGTCCAGATATTGGAGTGGAGCTCCATTGGGAGTGTGACCTGCTCTGTCTTGTTCTCCACTCTATCCTCAGTGCCTAGCACAGTGACTGCACATAATAGTTTCTCAATAAATATTTGACGAATGAACGAATAAGTGAAAGGACGACTACCTCTTTTTGTCTTTTCTTATTGCTAAAATCCTATTTTTTTCTTGTTCCGAATCTTGAATAATGGAGGCTTGGGATATTATGTGTTTGTCAACAAGTAAACATAGCCCTTTTGGACCATTTATCTTTGAAATGTAAATATTCTTGGGAGTAACATATTATGATGCTAAAGAATTAATGGATAAAATGAATTTAGCTAATCCTAAAGCTCATCCTCAGCCTTGAGGCTCAGGGAGGGGACTTGGAGAGGAGAACAAGACAGCACAAGCACCTTCATGAATTAGTTTAACTGGAATTAGTTTAACTGGAAGCTTTCCTGCTGACAGCTTGCTGATATGTGTCAAAGGTGGAAGGAAGGAGACTGACAGAATGGGAGCAAGAGAGGAAAACAGGCTAATCTTGGAGTCTGGACCTCTGTGAGAGAAAGGAGTCCTGAGTGGAGGGTACCTGAGCAACCTGAAGAGAAACTAGATGATGATATACCCTGCACGAAGAAGTGGAGGGCCAGGCAGGTAAGCCTTGTCTACGTGCCATCTTTCTACGGGGTAGGTAAAGGGAGTTAAGATATCCTGCCATATAGATCACAGAGGTCTCAAGGTAAAGAGTAATAGCCTTCATTCATTCATTCACTTATTCAACAAACATGCAGTGAGTGCCTTCATTGTTCCAGGCATTCTTCTAGGTGCTTGGGATACACGAGTGAAGAAAAGGGACAGAGATCCCTGCCTTCATGAAACTTATATTCTAGTGGGGAGAAAGAGACAATAAGCAGAAGACACAATAAATAAGCAAACCATATAATATGTTAGAAAGTGATACTAGCAATAGAAAAAGAAAAATGTGCAGCAGGAAAAGGGACACTGTGTGTGGGAGGAAAAGGGGAGCCGTTGGAGAATTTTGAACAGAGAAAGCAACATTATCTGACATGTTGTAGAAGGTTCCATCCCTCTGGCTCCTAGAGTGCACGTGTGGCAGGGACAAGTTTAGGCAGGAAGACCTGTTGGAGGGTATTATAGTTACCCAGGCAAAACGCCAGGTGCTTGGAGCAGGGTGGTACCAGTGAGGTGGTAAGAAGAGAGCAGATTGTGGATATATTTTGAAGGTAAAGCCATCAGGATTTCTTGATGAATTGGATGTTGGGTGACAGAAAATGAGGGGACTAAAGAAAGTGTCAAGATTTTTTGCCTGAGCAATTGAAAGGCGGGTGTTTCCATTACCTGAGATGGAGAAGGCTGCTGGTAGAGAAGGTTTTTGGGGAAAAGATTTAGAAATGTTGTTTGAGATGTCTGTCACATGGAATTGTTGAGTACACAGTACAGTCAGATGTAGGTGCCTGGAGTTCTGAGAGAAGTATGGGCTGGAGATATAATTGGGGGCGAGTTAAGGGCATTTTGTAAAATTTAAAGCCTTGAGACAGGTTGAGATCATACAGGGAATGACAGAGAAGAAAAGAGAGCCAGGATTGAGCACTGGAGCATTATAGGAAAAGAAGAAGAACCCAGCAAAGGAGACTGAGAAGGTCTGACCAGTGAGATGCGAAAACCAAGAGAGGGTGGAGTCCTGGAAACCCAGTGAAGTATGCATTGAGGAGAAAGGATTATGGACTATGCAAAATACTGCTGCTAGGTCGGAAGAAGAGCAGACTCAGCCATGGATTCAGTGATGTGAAGATCATCGGTAAACTGTGAACTGTGGAGAGCACCTTCAGCGGAGTGATGGCGTCAAAGGCCTAATTGAAGTGGGTTTAAGGGAGAATGGAAGGAGAGGGATGTAAGATGGCAAGAATGGAGAACTATTTTGAGGAAAGACTTACCTTCCTGGAAAGTTATTTGGCAACAAATGTTTTAAATAAATAATTAAATAATTTTAATTATTAAAATTTAGAAATTAATTTTTAATCAATATTTATTTTTTAAAAGGATGCTCTCTGGCTCATTAATTCTAATAAGTTTTTTTGTTGTTTGTTTTCTGAGAAAAAATAATCAGAGATTTGCACTAAGGCCTATATCTTTAAACACAAGGGTGCACATAGTCTCTCCATGTGACCTGGGCTTCCTCACAGCATGGTGGCTGAGTTCCCAGGGCAACAGAGCCAGGTGAAAGCTGCCTTCTAGAATCACCTGGAGAGGCTTTTAAAAAATGTCTGCCTTCAACTCCCAGAAATTCTGATGTAATTGGTCTGGGATGGATCCAGGTATTGATATTTTTACAAGTTCCCCAGGTGATTTTGTGTGGCCAGGGTTAAGAACCACTGTTCTCATAAGAGCACATGAAATAAGAGATTTGGCTTCCCAGGCATCTGCTTCCAGTAGTGGTTCCAGAGGTTCCAGTCATGTCACGTGACCTTCAAAGGCCTGCCAAAGGAATAAGATCAGGAAAATGCCAGAAGCAGTTGGATAACTAAGTGCAGTTACTACAGAGCTCCACAGCTGCCCCCTGGCTGCTTCAGATGGATGGTGGATGGGCCCAGAGCCTATGTGTTTTATGCAGAATGTCCTGGCAAGGTGGAAAGACTGCGTTGAAGAACTAGACTGGGACTCCTGGTTGCCCTCTTCTTGACATGGCAGTTGGATGAGTCAAATGCCAAGTAGAGTTTTCCCCATCGTTCCTGAAGATGTAATCTCTGCACCTGAGAAACCAATGCCCCTGTTTTATAATTTGACCAGCAGCTAACGGGAGCAGATAAAGATGAATGTTAGCCAGGGCTCATCTGAAGTTCTCCCAGTAGACACCGCAAGAAATTAAGATCCTGTTACTTTTTAACCTGACACAAGATGTCACCATTGCTCCTGTGCTTTTAGCAATAACAGCAGTGAGAGTTTGACTCTCTGATTACACAAGTTTTTTTCCCCCTCACAGGGATATGTGCGGATGTGTTCTGTGGATGAGGTTCATTAATCTATAGTCTGTTCCATCCTTCCAAGTTAAAGTATTTATGTGTAACACTTATTTGATTTTTTTCCCTTACACTAGCTGTGGATCAAAATTAATATCTCTTTGTGAACACTTCACAAGGAAACTTTAGTAGAGGCGACTGTAAAACAAGATAAGCTGACATTTTTATAGGATAACTGGAAAATTGCAGATCGTGTTTTAGTTTAGCTTCATTGCTACTAACAATGTTAATGTGATCTCCTGTTACTATGCTTAGTTTGGTACCAAAGTAGAAAAAAAGGCATGGACGTTATCCCAGGGTACCAATGGCCAAGAAGTGGGGTGGGTAAAAGATCATTGGAGCACTAAAACATCACTGGAGTTGTTGCCAAGATGGAGAAAACTGTATTTACAGAACTTCTCTCACACAGAGCACTGTGCGTGGTGGGAAGGAATACTCTGCAAAGTCACTTGGAGGTGAAGATGGTGAACTCAAAGTATAACTGAGTAAAGTGTAGAATTTGGGGGATGGAGTCACATTGCTGGGAACATTAAGAGAGGCTGGGACTACCAAGCATCCTTACGTTCTGCTATTCACCTATACCACCCCCCCTCTGTAGAAACATTCAACATCACCTAAAGAATATCCATTTGAAGGGGTGCCTAATTGTTACTCCGCTGTAGGTTTTCACACTAAAATATTAATATCTATTTATTCAGGCTTGTGGAATTACAGTGATTAATTTTTTTATCTTCCATTTTTTCTATGATGAGTATATAACTAGAAAAAAAGACCTCAAAGCAACATGAACTGCCACAACTAGAAGGACCCACAACTAAAATATATACAACTAGGTACTGGGGGGATTTGGGGAGAAAAAGCAGGAAAAAACCCATGAACTATATACTGTAAAATTCTAACTATACAACTTTCTTGAAAAGGCTAAACTATGGAGACAGTAAAAAGGTCAGTGGTTGCCAGGGGTTGATGGGGAGGGGTGAATAAGCAGAGCGCAGGATTTTCAGGGCAGCGAAACTATTCTGTATGATGCTGTAGTGATGGATGCATGTCACTATACATTTGTCCAAACCCATAGAATGTACAACGCCAAGAGCGAACCCTAATGTAGACTATGGATTTAGGTGATTACGATGTGTCAATATAGGTTCATCAACTGTAACAAATGTACCACTGTGATGGGAGTGTTGATAATGGGGGAGGTTGTACATGTGTGAAAGGCAAGGGGATATGGGAAATTTCTAAGCCTTCTTCTCAAATTTGCTGTGAACTTGTAACTACTGTAAGAAAATAAGTCTTTAAAAAATCCTCTGATTCTAGAGATTTATATTGAAGAGAGATGTGCATGAGCTGTTAGTTGAGAAAATATTATCATCATCTACTTCCTAGTCAATCTCGATGCAGATGTGCTAAAGCTCTGGATTAGTCAGGGTTCTGGGAGGAAATACATGACACATTCAAATTAGGTAGTTTGAAGAGAATTCTAATGAAGAGACTGTTTCCAAAGGTGTGGGCAGAGTGGAGGGATATCATAAGGGAGAGTGCAGGACCCGAGGATAGATCAGTGGAGCTGTTACCGCCATTAGGTTGAGTGCAGAGGAGAGAGAGCTTTGTGGACCACCCAACTGGACTTGTGACCTTCACTGGAGGCATGTAGACAGCCCATGGTGCCAATACACAGGGGAAACTGTGACAATAATGCCCTCGTCTAACTCCTCTCTCTCCCTCCAATCTCTGCTGTTTAGCTAATTCAACTAAGACTGTTAGTGTGGTCCGCATGAGTCAACTTCTCAGGACACTTAACAGAGGAGAAGGGCAAAGAGTAGACTGGGGCAGCGGGGGAATGGAAGATGTACAGCTATGCTTTGTTTGAAAAGAAATTAACCTTTATCACAGAACTCTACAAATTCACGTGGTTCTAGAAGGTTTTCAATGAAAATGAACAATGTCCCCCCCCACCCTCCTCCTTCCCGGCCACCCGCTTCTAAGAGTCAACCACTTTTGATTCTACTAACTATTTTCTTCTGGGATTTATCTCCTTACTTTAAATCAACAGTGATATTTCTAATTTTTTTCTAAATCGATATTATTTATTGATTTCTCACTATAGAGGCCGAGGATTTAACTCTTACTCTCACCTCCCCTGCCCGTCTCACACTGAGTTCCAAAGCACATACTTACTCTGCCTCATCCTATACTACAGTTATACCAAATTTTAAAAATTTAGATCAGAATTCACTGTTCATGGTATGACTTTGTAATTATTATGCACAAATGAACTATGTAGGATACAATTATTACAACTCTTTTCTTGGAAAACTTTTCTTTTCTCTGGAGCTAATAATTACAACATTTTTGGCCTAGTTTTCTATATCTTTTCGTAATTCATCCCCAAACACTCTGCCAGAAGCATCAATCCCCTTTGAGTACATGAAACACAGGTGGTAATCTACAGCTTCATTTTGTGTTTGGAGTTATCCTTACTGGAGCCCTCCATCCTCTTTCTCCAATCTGAATCAGTGGCTCTCTAGGTCCACTTCTTAGCTGTGTGGTCCTGGGATTTCCTTCACCTTCATCGTGGTGAAAGAGAGTTACCTTCTCTCTCCTCTGTTTGATTCC